TACTAAAGCCAGCTAAAATTTTCTGTTATCTTGCATGTTTTATGAATCTATTCACATCTAAATGCAGCACTTTTTTTTTCAATGAGACATTTGTTTTTATACTAAAATATCTGAATTACTTTGAAGAAAGCTGGAAATTATGTCCCTTAAAATAATTACCGGTAAACAAATAAGGTACCAATGTTTTTGTAAGATATTTACATCTTTTAAGGACATTCGGTAGACTGATTCCCCACTGTTGGTTCAACCCCAAAACTTGTTTGTATTCAAAATTAATTATGACAATGCATATTTATATTGAAACAAACTATGATAAAGGGAATTATATTATATAACAAAGGGCAAGGTCACCTATGTTTTTTTTTTTGAAAACCACTTGCTGGATCTCTTCATTAATTTATCTTCATTAATTAATTAATTTTGGAGTTGGTAATTGAGATGCAATCCTGTTTGTATTTTGCAAAATAAATATGATACATGTGTATGTACGTTGGTATTTTGTTGTGAAGTGACATACTGCAGTCGTGCATTTTTAAGTATATATTAGAGACGTGCTACTGATAGACCAAATATGCTAAAAACAATCTGTATCCTGGAAGCAGTTATAAGTCAAAATGTACATACTAATTCTATTTAGATCACTGCATGGCCATCAGCCCTGTGTGCTTTACTCTACCCTAACCTAGAGCTACATGTATAAGGATGTAATCAGGGCTAGTTTATTTATAGCTGCCATATTTTAAAATTACTGATATGTTTATTTCTGCAGGGTGACTTAAGGATGCTACCCGTTATTTTATACACAGAAGACAATACAGAGTATGAGAAAGGTCACAAAAGGCAAAGTGTGGTCCAAGTTCTAAATGTAAGTTAATTATTAAGAATGTGTGTCCATTTCTTATCTAAATAAACAGTAAAGCAAGATATTACTAAACAAGTATATTAGATGAATTATTCACTTTCTTGACTATTACTGCTAATAATCTCTATGGACAATGTACACTGCCTCCATACCCTGAGGTATAAGCTATGTTGATGTGAGATATACCTAGGCAGGTACCTGGCTATG